TTTTACATATGTTATATTTTATAAAAAATTTATTATAAAATATAATATATATAAAATTGAACACAATAAATAACAGTATATTAAATATTATTTTTTATATTTAAATGTTAAATTTAAAATTAATACATTAATTATAATATTGTATTAAAGATACTATAAGAGAGTTGACAAAGACCTTTTTGTGAATTTCTAATTTTAATAATTTATAATAATTTATAAATGTGTAGCAAATCATTACAGTGTTAATTGTTTTACGACAAAAGTAATTATATTTGCACATCAAAAAGTCATTAATACTCTCACCAATTCATAATTTATTGTTATTACAATTTTACCCCATACTAAAATTATATTAAAACCCATTAATGCACTCCTACATTAACTATAAATGAAAATAGTATTTTTTTCAAAACAAGAAAAAAAGGTATACAACCACATTAACTATAATTAAAAAATAATTTGCAAAAGAATTAAAAAAACATACACATTTCTGATCAAAACTAATTTCATCATCATAAATCATAAAATTTTCTCCATCATCTTCTTTTTAGCGTCAAACTATGTAGATTGTTTTCTACCTATATAGCCTTTCTATCTTGTTTTAGAACACTTGTTGTTGGAGTGTTTTCTGTTATGCATGTTTTTTATTTCTTTTCCAGCGTAGTTTTCTTTTTATCTTGTACTGTTATGTGTTTGGTGGATTTTAGAGCCCGTTTGGTTTATGAATTAGAACCATGAGATTAAAATTATTTTCGATTTACGTGTGTTTTTTGTGAAAGAAAATACTGTAGTGAACTATGAACCATAATTCTAATCAGAGAACGAATCCTCCAATCAAACGGACTCTTAGTGAGAATAATTTTGTGACTCTATGCCTTTTATCTTTGTTGCTAGGACGATTGGTGTCTATTTGGTCTTTTTCTTAATCGCATCTAGTTGTTTTGTGCAATGGAGGCTTTGTTCTTATTTAATGGACATCAACAAAACAAAAAAACAAAAACAAAACAAAACAAAAAAAAAAAAGAAGAAGAAAAAGGAGAAAGAGGATGTAAGATGAAGACAATTGATAAATAAATGGTAAATGAAATTACATTGTTTTTAAATGGGAAAAAACATTAATAGTTAAAAGAGATTATATTATTATATAAATCAAATGAAGATTAAAATTAGGTGGGAGTATGAGAGGGTTAAATTAGGTATGATGAAAATTATATATATTTTATTGATTTTTTTCATATTTTTATTAGAGGATTATTAATTGGGGTATTAGAATTTTTAGGGTGTAAATATAACTACTCCTACGAAAATTGATACGTGTTTTGCTTTACGGTGGTTCTATTCACACTCATTTTTACTCTTTACACCTTTGATCTAATTACACACCCCGCATAATATTTAAATGATTAAATTTTCTTTTTACACAGTCATATTATTCTAAAATTACTCCTAACTAGTTTCTATAAAATTATTAAGGATGGTTTTACTTACATTCTCTCTTTTCTATCCACACCCACCCATCTCTTTATTCTTCATACTCATTTCTAATTGCACACCCCACAGAAATTATTTATTCCTTTAATATTATCTTTTTATTTCTTTTTTTGAAACTTTAGGCGCAGCTGTTTTTTTAAAGTTCAATAGGAAAAAAAACTACAAATAAGAAATAAGAAAGGTAAATAAAAATAATAATTAAAAACTTTTTATGAGTTGCATTATATTTACTGAATATTGATTGGGCTCAATAATAAATAAAGTGTAGTAAGATATTACCTCATAAGCATAAGCATTAAAAAAATATAAATTTGGATTAACTCTGATAAAAAAAAAACAGTAAATGCTCTTAATTAATGACGCATGTGCAAACCAGGTGCCAAATTTCATCCAAGGCCAGTTATATTTACACCTTAAAACACGTCTCCAATAATTAATACTTGCCAAATAAAAATTTGAAAAATCTATCCCCTTATAAATAAAATTTTTATAATACTTAATTTTAATCTTGATTTAATTTATAAGGTAATGTAATTCTTTTAGACTATTAATATTATCTCATTTTTAAAATTATTTCAATTTTTCATTCAGTTTTGTCTCTATATTTTTATTTATTAATTGTCCACGTCTTATCTATTAAGAATGATATCCTTAAAGTATGTGATGTAATAAGATATTTTATTATTTACTAAATAAAATATATTTTTATTATTTTATATTGAAAATTTAATGATTATTTATGTGATTAAAAGTATTGTGTGTAAGTATTAAATATATGAGGATAATAATCGCAATATATCCGTAATAAATTTAATTAAAATTTTGGTATCTTTAATTAAGACATCACTAACATATGTCATTCCAATAAAAGATAGAACAATGATATTTGCATCGTTAATATGGAGGGATATTGAGCGAGTGTATTGTACATAATGTGATTGTGTAGGACTGAGACAAAACACGATTTGAATTTATAAAAATTTTCGTTTAGCATAGAAATTTGAATAGAATCTGCGGATGGTCATATAGAGAATTATCTCAAACTTATGTTATTAGCAAACTCTTATTTATGCATTTGTCTCTTTTGACTTACTCGGTATGGATTTCGAGTTACTAAATCCTTTTGACTATATCTAGGAGACATGATGAAGTACGCAATGGTGAATGTTAATGTATAAGATAGAATTCATTTCTTGTTGAATAAAAAAATAGATAAATAATTCTCTTGAGTAAGAGCACTTAATTCGTGATTAAGTTTGTGAATTTATTATTTATTAGAAAATAAATGATACTGAAGGATAAAGATGTAACTAGAAGGTTAATAGATTTCTATCAAGCTCTAATGATGATTTATTTATTGATGTAATGACTACATCAAATGGACGCTTCATATTCTTAGAAGAAAATTAATGTCTATAATTTCAAAAGTACAATTCTAAGATTCTAGTGGAGTAACTTTTGGGATTAACAAAATTAATTAATTGACTAAAGAGTTCAATTGATTATAATTTTCTTGGAGCTTAACATATACTAGATTGATTCTTCTAAGTAGTTCTAAATTAGTAATCATATACTAGGTCTTGCAGGTGTCAAAAGTTAGACGTGGAAGATTCAAGGCTTTCTAAAAATCACTGGAGCAAGAATTGTTCGTAGTCAAATACTTAAAGTTGTCAGCCTAATCGCTTTAAGGCATAAAAATAAACTTTAAGGCATAAAACAATTATTTTTATGTAAAGTGATATATTCTATATAGTCTTTACAAATGTTTTGTTAAACATGAGTCGTACTGATAAGCTTCTGTATTTAGAATCGCTTTAGAAGCCAATATTATCTTATTCTTCCTTTTTTCTTGGTCCATTAAATATAAGAATAAAGTCTCCACGCACAAAAATAGTTAGATGCGATAAAAAAAAAAAAAAAACCTAGATGCAGAACAATGATGATGCAAAAGCGTCCATAACACGAGAATAACAAGATGCGATTAAAAAAAAAAAGATTTAGAACGATGATGATGAAAATAAAGGTGCAATGACTATGACGATTTGCGAAATAAGATGGATGAAATCTTGGCCTCGTTCGTTTTGCTGATTTGAGTTTAAAATTCGAGTTGAGATGTGATTTTATGTGAGAATTTTTTACTGTAGTAAAAAAGTTAGATGTGACTGTTTGTGAGAGTTTTTTACTATAGTAAAACTTGAATTCTAAACTCGAATTAGCAAAAAAAGTTAATGTACTTACTATACCATATTGCTTCCTCATGCTTCTAGTCCATTCAACAAGAGATTTTTTTAAAATTGAAAACCTACAACACGTAGATTGACAATAATAAATAAAATATATTTATACGTAAATAATGAAATCTTAATATACCTACCATCTTAGTGTGGCATATTAGTATAATCCATTGTAGAGCTACGTTGCCATCTTGCATTACTAGAATCAAAATAAAATGCCTTTAAAAAAATAATAATAATAAAACGCGGAGTAAATGGCATAAACTAATATTATAAGGTTTTTTTATTAGAAATATAAACTCCAATATTTGTTGACTCTTCAAGAGACATGCATTTATTTTTTTTCTTTTTTTATTTTTGGTTTCAACTGGAACCTCCATTAAAATTTTCGAAGAATTGAATGGAGAAAAATCTTAGGTTTATGAAGATGAAATTATTATTAATTAGAGATATAGAGGTATGTTTTTTTATTCCTTTAAAAAATACATTCTAATGATAGTTAATGTTGGAGTACTAACACTCTTTTATTTCTTTAAAGAGAATACTTTTTCTATTTATAATTAAAGTGGTTGTATACTAATGGGTTTCGATGTAATTTTAATGCTATGTAAAATTATAATAAACATAAATTATGAATTGTTGAGAACATTAGTGAATTTTTTGGGTGTAAATATAATCGCTCTTTATCAAAAAAATCATCACCATTATCAATTGGGGCGGTATGCTACTCATTTGTAAATTTAAGAGACAAATTGCCGAAATTGAAAGTTTAAAGGCACATTGCAACTGTGCGATAAGATCAAGGGTCAATAGTGCAATTCAGTCTAAACATATAAAAATGAAAATATAATTAGAATAACTTAGTGTCAAATATTTAAATAGTTGATATTTTTATCTCTGAATTTTTCATTTTACAAATCGACAACTAAATTTTTAAAATTTTTGCAAATGAAGAATTTTCATGAGCTTTTATAAATTTTTCATCTAAATATATCAAGTATAATACATGTGATCCGGTAAAGAACAACATTGTAGTACACTAATATAATTTATTTTGTAACAATTAAAATTTTTAAAAAATAGCAATAAATATGAAGAGGAGCTCCAAACTTAAAGCTACTATTCACACAAATTTGGTTCTTATTTTATTTTTTAGGTAACCATCAAACAAACAA